AAAAATAATATTACATAACCAAAATTAAGGAGGATTGTAGTCAATGGGACTACCTTGGTATAGAGTTCATACAGTTGTTTTAAATGATCCTGGAAGACTGATTGCAGTACATATAATGCATACAGCTTTAGTATCAGGATGGGCAGGATCTATGGCCTTATATGAACTTTCTGTTTTTGATCCGTCCGATCCTGTATTAAATCCGATGTGGAGACAAGGAATGTTTGTTATGCCCTTTATGACACGTTTAGGAGTGGTTGATTCATGGGGAGGATGGAGCGTAACTGGTGAAAGTGTAGTTAACCCAGGTATATGGAGTTTTGAGGGTGTGGCTTTGTCACATATTATCCTATCTGGTTTATTATTCTTAGCTGCAATATGGCATTGGGTCTATTGGGATTTAGAATTATTTCGCGATCCTAGAACAGGTGAACCTTCTCTAGATTTACCTAAAATTTTTGGCATACATTTATTTCTTTCTGGAATATTATGTTTTAGTTTTGGAGCCTTTCATATAACAGGTTTATTTGGCCCTGGTATTTGGGTGTCAGATGCATATGGTCTTACAGGCAAAGTTCAACCAGTCGCACCATCTTGGGGTCCAGAAGGATTTAATCCTTTTAATCCAGGCGGTATAGCATCACATCACATAGCAGCAGGAATAATAGGTATATTAGCAGGTATTTTTCATTTAAGTGTTCGACCACCGCAGAGGTTGTATAGAGCATTGAGAATGGGAAATATTGAAACAGTTCTTTCGAGTAGTATTGCTGCTGTCTTTTTTGCTGCATTTGTTACAGCGGGAACGATGTGGTATGGTTCAGCGACTACTCCAATTGAATTATTTGGTCCGACAAGGTATCAGTGGGATAGTGGTTATTTTCAACAAGAAATACAAAGAAGGGTGGACAATTATTTGAGTCAAGGTTTATCTTATTCTGAAACTTGGTCAAAAATTCCGGATAAACTAGCATTTTATGATTATATAGGTAATAATCCTGCCAAAGGTGGATTATTTCGTGCAGGTCCTATGAATAAAGGAGATGGTATTGCTGAGGCTTGGCTTGGACATGCAATTTTTACAGATCGTGATGGAAGAGAGTTAAGTGTAAGACGAATGCCTGCTTTTTTTGAAACCTTTCCCGTTATTTTAGTTGATAAGGAAGGTGTCGTCAGAGCAGATATACCTTTTAGACGTGCTGAGTCTAAATATAGTATTGAGCAAGTTGGTGTTACTGTAAGTTTTTATGGTGGGAAATTAAATGGTCAAGTTTTTACAGATCCAGCAAATGTAAAAAAATATGCTAGAAAAGCTCAATTAGGTGAAGTTTTTGAATTTGATAGAGTTACACTCCAGTCAGATGGAGTATTTCGTACAAGTCCTAGAGGTTGGTTTACTTTTGGTCATGCTAGTTTTGCGTTACTTTTCTTTTTTGGTCATTTATGGCACGGTTCACGAACAATATTTAGAGATGTATTTGCAGGAATTAATCCTGAAATTACAGAACAAGTAGAATTTGGGGTGTTTCAAAAATTAGGGGATAAAAGTACTAAAAAACAAGGTCTTGTATAAGATTATATAAAATTTTGAAATTAAATATTTATCGGTGAATTTAGGAGCAACTAATGGAAGCTTTAGTCTATATTTTTCTATTGACAGGTACGCTAATGGTATTATTTTTTGCTATATTTTTTAGAGATCCTCCAAGAATAGCTAATAAACCAAAAAAAGATTAAGAAAGTGGATAGTTATGACTATCCACTTTTTTAATCTTCATGCTCTTCAAAGGGATCTTTTAGCTCTTTAGATTGAGGACCAAATGACACATATACAGAATATAATGTGATTCCCACTAATAAGCTGCAAATAAAAATGCTAAAAGTAATCGCAGTTTCCATAAAAGGAGTTGTAATTGATATATTGTATCTAATTGTGTAAATTAATTCAATAAATATTATAATTATAATAGATAGACGTAATTATTTAATTAATTATTTAAATAAAAACTTTAAATATGGCATTAAAAACTAGACTAGGAGAAATTTTAAGACCTTTAAATTCGGAATATGGAAGAGTAGCTCCTGGTTGGGGAAGTACTCTTTTAATGGGTGTTTTTATGTTATTGTTTTTTCTATTTTTATTGATAATTTTACAAATATATAATTCTTCATTAATTTTAGAAAATATTGATGTTGACTGGAAAAGTCTTGGTTTATAGAGTAGAAATTGAAGCGCCGAAGGCAAAAGCTAAACAAAACAAAACTGAACAATAAACTCGTGTTATAACACGAGTTTATTGTTCAGTTTTGTTTTGTTTAGCTTTTGCCTTCGGCGCTTCAATTTCTACCACTTCTTCTGGTGCGAAGTTGTTTGTATTAACTCCAGCATAATTTACTTTATCAAATCTTACAATTATAGGATATTTTATACCACTTTTTTCTACAGTAACAACATTTCCAATTTCTTGATACCAATAAGATTCTTTGCGTAATATTTTAACTTTTGAACCTTTCTGAACCATATGTTTATATTTACTTTATAAATCATAATATATATTTTATAATATAATATTAATATCACTTATAAAGTATGAATATTATAATGTTAACTTTTTTTAATGAAATATTCTGTATTACTTTTTTATTAAAAATAGGAGAGAGAGGGATTCGAACCCTCGATACGAAGTTTTCGTATTATAGTTTTCGAAACTATTGCTTTAAACCGCTCAGCCATCTCTCCTTACAAAAAAATTAATTGGTTGCTAAAGATGAGTTTTAATGTTAAATAATAATATAAACAAAATTAATATAGTCTCAGTTAAAGGGATTTAAACTATGAAATTTTCGTGGAAAAATGTATTATTATGGTTTTTATCTATTATAGGAGTTGGATCTTTAATATGGCAAGGGACAACAACATTATTCCTACCAGAAATAGATAATAATGATATTGATATTGCAACTTCAAGAATGACTTATGGTAGGTTTTTAGAATATTTAGATAAAGGTTTAATAAAGAAAGTAGACCTATATGATGAAGGACACACAGCTATAGTAGAAGCTAAAAGCCCTGAGTTAGGAGAAAAAAATCAATTAATTCGTGTTGAATTACCAGCAGCTACATCAGAATTTATAAACAAATTAATTCAAAAAGATATAGATATAGATGCACATCCTTCAACTGACAATACAATAATCTGGAATATATTAAGTAATTTAGTTTTACCTGTTCTATTTGTTATAGGACTGGCTTTTTTATTTAGAAGATCTGGTAGTGTACCAGGAAGCCCTGGACAAGCCATGAACTTTGGAAAATCTAAAGCACGTTTTAATATAGAAGCTAAAACTGGAGTCACTTTTGATGATATTGCAGGAATTGAAGAAGCTAAAGAAGAGTTTCAAGAAATTGTAACTTTTTTAAAAAAGCCAGAAAGATTTACTGCTATCGGTGCTAGAATTCCAAAAGGAGTATTACTTGTTGGTGCACCGGGGACAGGTAAAACTCTTTTAGCTAAAGCTATTGCTGGTGAAGCAGGTGTACCGTTTTTTAGTATTTCTGGATCTGAATTTGTTGAAATGTTTGTAGGAGTCGGAGCATCTAGAGTAAGAGATCTTTTTAAAAAAGCTAAAGAAAATGCACCTTGTATTGTCTTTATAGATGAAATTGATGCTGTCGGTCGACAAAGAGGTACAGGTATTGGTGGAGGTAATGATGAAAGGGAACAAACTCTTAATCAATTATTAACAGAAATGGACGGATTTGAGGGGAATACAGGTATAATTGTTGTAGCAGCAACTAATAGAATTGATGTATTAGATGTTGCCTTATTAAGGCCTGGACGTTTTGATCGTCAAATTACAGTAGATCTACCTGATTTAAAAGGAAGGATAGCAATTTTAAAAGTTCATTCTAAAAATAAAAAACTTGCTCAAACAGTATCTATAGAAAGTATAGCGAGAAGAACACCAGGCTTTTCAGGAGCCGATTTAGCTAATTTAATGAATGAAGCTGCTATTTTAACTGCTAGAAGAAAAAAAGATTCTATTACTATGTCAGAAATAGATGTTTCAATTGATCGTATAATTGCTGGTCTTGAAGGGAGAGTTTTAACAGATAGTAAAACTAAACGTTTGATTGCATATCATGAAGTTGGTCATGCTATTATTGGTACTTTACTAAAAAATCATGATCCTGTTCAGAAAGTAACTTTAATACCAAGAGGACAAGCTAAAGGTTTAACTTGGTTTACTCCATCAGAAGAACAAACTTTAATTTCAAGAGGACAAATTTTAGCAAGAATAATTGCAGCGCTAGGAGGAAGAGCCTCAGAAGAAGTTGTTTTTGGTAATCTTGAAATTACTACAGGTGCAAGTAATGATTTACAACAAGTAACATCTATGGCAAGGCAAATGGTAACACGATTTGGTATGTCTAATATTGGACCACTATCTCTTGAGAATCAAATTAGTGATCCATTTTTAGGTCGAGGATTTGGTTCTGGATCTGAATATTCTGAAGATATAGCAAGTAGAATTGATAGACAAGTTCGTTCTATATTAAATTATTGCTATAAAGAAGCTTTAAAAATTATAAAAGATAACAGAATGATTATAGATAAAATAGTTGATATTTTAATTGAAAAAGAAACTATAGAGGGTAATGAACTTAGAGAAATTATATCCAAATACCAAAAACAAAAAGAAAAATATACTCAGAAAAGTCCAACATTGATATCATAACGAATTTATTTAATTATAAATATATAAATAACGAGATTGACGGGACTCGAACCCGCAACTTCCGCCGTGACAGGGCGGTGCTCTAACCGATTGAACTACAATCCCAGATTAATTTAGTATAATATATAAAATACTTATTTTATCTATAATTTTTATCTATAATAGGAGAGAGAGGGATTCGAACCCTCGGTACAAATACAATGTACGACAGATTAGCAATCTGTTGCTTTAGACCACTCAGCCATCTCTCCTTTTACAGATGGAGTTAAGCGGATTTGAACCGCTAGCCTTCTCGATGCCATCGAGATACTCTACCTGTTGAGTTATAACCCCTCAATCTTTAGTTAATTAAGCGTTTTAGCTTAGGTAGGAATTGAACCTACGACCTTGGGCTTATGAATCCCCTGCTCTATCCACTGAGCTACTAAGCCTTATCGAGAATATGATATGATTATCATATATTATAAATAGGATTCATAATCAATGTTTACTATTAATACATTGATTTGAAGAATTAACTAGCATTGAACCGATACCTTGATCTGTAAAAATTTCTAACAATAAAGCATGAAAAACTCTCCCATCAATTATATGTGCAGCTGGTAATCCTTTAGCTAGGGCTCTTATACAACAATTAACTTTGGGAATCATTCCTCCTGAAATTTTTCTTTCTGTAATTAAAGATTTTATATCTTCTATATTTAATTGCCTAATTAAAGTATCATTATTATTAATATCGTTAAGAATACCGGCCGTATTAGTTAGTAATATTAGTTTTTCTGCATTAATAGATATAGCAATTTCACCAGCAACAGTATCCGCGTTAATATTATATGATTTACCATCTAAATCTGCTCCTATGCTCGCAATGACAGGAATATATCCCGCATTAATTATAGTTTTTATAATATTTGTATTTATATGTTTAATTTTACCTACAAAACCTATTTCTATATCTTCTTCATTTTCACATTGTATGAGTTTTCCATCTTTACCAGTTAAACCTACAGCATAGGAGCCTTGTTTATTTATTAAACTAACTATTTCTTTATTTATTTTACCAGCTAATACCATTTCTACTATTTCAATAGTATTTGAATCTGTAATTCTAATACCATTTTTAAACTTAGACTTGATATTAAGCTTATCTAACCAAGAATTAATTTCTGGTCCGCCGCCATGAATTAAAATTGGTTTTATTCCAACATGTGATAAAAGTATTATGTCATTAACAATAGACTCTTTTAATTTATTATTAGTCATTATTGATCCACCATATTTTATAACAATAGTAGAACCTGCAAATTTTTGTATATAAGGCAAGGCTTCACTCAATATTTGTACTCTATTTAAATTATTTGTTGATTGACCTATATTAAAATGATTATTATTCATATCGTTTTATTTTTTATATTTTGTAAAATTAATTCTAATGATCATTGATAATTTACTACGTTTTATTAGATTTTTTTTTAGCATTATAATAGGTCTAATTTTAACTATTTTACAACCTATTATAAATATATACAATACACCTTTTAATTTAAAAAAATTTATAAGTATAGCTCTAATAATATTATTTATCATATTTATAATTATTACATTAAAATCTATGTTAAATTTAACATAGTAGAATCTTATCTTTAAATAAGAGGTTATACTAGATGATAAATCATAAAAAAAATGGAGCTTTTGCTTTAATAGACAGCTTAGTAAGACATGGTGTAAAACATATTTTTGGATATCCTGGAGGAGCTATTTTACCTATATATGACGAATTATATCTTTGGGAACAAAAAAACTTAATTTTTCATTATTTAGTTAGACACGAACAAGCTGCAGCTCATGCAGCTGATGCTTATGCAAGAGCTACAGGTAAAGTAGGTGTTTGTTTTGCTACTTCAGGGCCTGGTGCAACTAATCTAGTAACAGGGATAGCAACAGCACAAATGGATTCGATACCAATTGTAGTAATAACAGGTCAGGTAGCTCGGCCATTTATTGGAACAGATGCTTTTCAGGAAACCGATATATTTGGTATAACATTACCAATAGTCAAACATTCTTATGTTGTACGTAATCCTAGAGATATGTCACGAATAGTAGCAGAAGCTTTTTATATTTCTAAACATGGTAGACCAGGACCTGTTTTGATTGATATTCCTAAAGATGTAAGTTTAGAAACTTTTCATTATATTCCTACTAATCCTAATGAAATAGATTTACCTGGATGTAGACCGATTCCTCAAACTAGTTATAAACAAATAATTCAAGCAGTGTCTTTGATACAAGAATCAAATCAACCTCTTTTATACGTAGGAGGAGGTGCTATATCTTCAGATGCTTATAAAGAGGTAAAATTATTGGCAGAATATTTTGAAATTCCTATTACTACAACTTTAATGGGAAAAGGTATTATAGAAGATACTCATCCTTTATCTTTAGGTATGTTAGGAATGCATGGAACTGCATATGCAAATTTTGCAGTAAGCGAATGTGATTTATTAATTGCTCTAGGAGCTAGATTTGATGATAGAGTCACTGGAAAATTAGATGAATTTGCTTGTAAGGCCAAAGTAATACATATAGATATTGATCCTGCAGAAATAGGTAAAAATCGAATACCTCAAGTAGCAATAATAGGAGATATAAAAGTTGTTTTAAAACAAATTTTGGCATATGTTGAACAAGAATGTCAAATTGATAAACAGCAAACTCAATCTTGGCTTGAAAGAATTAGACATTGGAAAGAAGATTACCCATTAAGTTTTAATGAAGATAGTGTTCAACTATTGCCTCAAGAAGTTATTAGGGCAATAAATAATCTTAATACTAATATTAGTTTTTTTATTACTACTGACGTAGGACAACATCAAATGTGGGCTGCACAACTGATTAATACAGGGCCTCGTAAATGGATATCTAGTGCAGGACTTGGAACAATGGGTTATGGACTGCCAGCTGCTATTGGTGTACAAATTGCTTATCCTGACTCAACAGTTGTATGTATTACAGGTGATGCAAGTTTTCAAATGAATTGCCAAGAACTATCAACAATAGCTCAATATAAATTACCAATAAAAATTATTATAATAAATAATTTTTGGCAAGGAATGGTTAGACAATGGCAACAGGCATTTTATGGAGAAAGGTATTCTCATTCTAATATGAATCAAGGAATGCCAGATTTTGTACAATTAGCTAAAGCATTTGGAATTAAAGCAATATGTATTAAAAATAAATATGAGTTACACTCTTCGTTTGAAAAGTTTTTTGCGATAAAAGAACCTCTTATTATAGATTGTCACGTTAGTAAAGAAGAAAATTGTTATCCTATGGTAGCGCCAGGTAAAAGTAATTCGCAAATGATAGGTTTAATCAAACAATTAAAGAAAAATACTTTATTTATAAAAGATGAAAAGTTTATTGAATCTTAGATTTAGATAAGATTTAGTAATTTTTAATTTTGATTATATAAATCTGTTAATTTCTTTATGTTATTATACAAAGAATAATGGGCTATTAATTTTTTTCTTGATTTTTTACTTAGCAATCTTCTTATTTCATTATTATCTCTTAAGAGAGGTAATAAAATTTCTAATTGGGAAATAATTTTTTTATAAGAAATAACAACTCCATTATCTGGACGTAAAACAGTTTGGCTTGAACCACTATTTGTAGAAATACATGCCAATTGAGATGACATAGATTCTAATAAAGAGATTGATAAACCTTCTATTAATGAAGAAAGTAAAAAAACATTACTAGACTTGATTAAATTGATTTTTCTTAATTCATTATTTATACATCCCATCCATATAAAACCCTGTTCAGGTTTATATTTATGCATTAGTTTATAAACTAGCGGGCCATTGCCAATAATTAATAATTTACAATTTATTCCCATTTTTTGATTGACCCAAGCTTTTAATATTTTTTCTAAATTCTTTTCAGGAGAAATTCTGCCCTGGTATAAAAAAGTACATTTACATTTTAAATATTCTTTAAGTGATACTTTAACGTATTCATATCTTTTATAATTAACTCCATTTGGTATTCTACATAAAACAGAATGTTTTAGGCCAATTTTTTGCATTAATCTAAATTGCAATCTAGAAAAAACAATAATAGAAGAATACTTATATAAAAAAGGAATATAGAATTTATAAACTAATAATTGGCGATGAAAAATTCCTTGAATAGGGATACGTGTAACATTAAATTGATTGTATGTATTATTATTTTGCGTTTTAAGAATAGTTTTATAGTTGTTAATTAGACGAATATTAAACTTAAACGCTGGATGAAAGGTGCCAATTATAGGAATATTTAAAATCTTAGCTATTCTAGGTAATATTAAGTCTATAGGTGATAAACTTAAAGAAATATGAATTATATCTGGTGCTAGTGCTTTAATTATACAAAAAATATAAGATGTTGAAATGAAAGAAGGAACTGTATATAACTGTGATTGATAAATTGCTATCAGTGAAATATGTGAATATTTTTTGTTAAAAAAACAATTATTTTTATAAGAAAAATGTACTAAACTAAATTGATTATTATTTTGTGTTAAATATTTACTTATTTCTTTTGTATAGGTCACATTACCACAAAAAGGAAAAGTTTTCCCTATCCATAGTACATGCATCTATTTCTCCTACTTTGTATAGTATAAATTTAATTAATTAAAGAAGTTAAAAATTATTATATTAAAAAATGTAAGCCAATGGCGAGAATTGAACTCGCGACCTTCCCCTTACCAAGGGGATGCTCTACCACTGAGCCACAAAGGCATAGTTTATTTGGGCCGGGTTGGATTTGAACCAACGTAGGAAAAACCAGCGGATTTACAGTCCGCCCCCATTAACCGCTCGGGCACCGACCCAGATAGGGATATCTAGATGTAACTGGGCTCGAACCAGTGACCTTCACGATGTCAACGTGATACTCTAACCAACTGAGCTATACATCTATTAATTAAAATTTCAACATAAGTATATATTATATATATTTAATTTATTATTATATTTTTTCCTTAAGTTTTTTGGCATTGCGAATATAAAAAATTTTTGCACGTCTAATTTTAAAATGCTTTAAGATTTTTATGCTAGTAATTTTAGGAGAATGTATTAAATAAATCCGTTCTACTCCTATTCCTTGTAATGTTCTTCTCATAGTGATTGTTGTATTTATGCCAGCATTATGTTTTGAAATCACTATTCCTTCAGAATATTGAATTCTTTCTTTATTGCCTTCTTTTATAAAAACTCCAATTTTTATTAAATCTCCTATTTGTATAGATGGGATGTTATCTTTTATATATGCTGATT